GGGTGGGGGGCGCCGCCGCCTCGGGGAGATTGAGGGGTGGGGGGGTGGAGGAGATGGGGCTCTTCTCCCCCCCCCGCGAGTATCGCGGGTCCCCCTCTTGTGCTTATCTAATTCCCTTTTGAAGCCGTCCATGCTTGTAGCCGCCGCCACCTCCTGTGGCAGTGAATTCCAAGTGTTAATCACTCTTTGGGTGAAGAAGTACTTCCTTTTATCCGTTCTAAACCGACCGCTCAGCAATTTCATGGAGTGGCCACGAGTTCTTGTATTGTGAGAAAGGGAAAAAAGTACCTTTTTCTCTACCTGCTCTTTCCCATGCATAATCTTATAAACCTCAATCATGTCACCCCTCAGTCGTCGTTTCTCCAAGCCAAAGGGCCCCAAGCGCCTTAACCTTTCCTCATAGGGAAAGTGTTCCAACCCTTTTATCATTCGAGTTGTTTCTTAGTTCAGCCTGTTCCGTAGCAGTGCCATGGTACCTGCTCCAAGAAATCTGCCAACAATCCTGTATTTGATGGGAAAGTAGCACGTCATCATCAATGTATGGTGAACTCTATCCCAGCAGATGTCAGAACATTTTTTTATTGGGAGGACACACCCTCGTAGCCCTCCCCAAAGCTAATGTCAAGGGACCGGCACTGCAGTCCGGTCCTTAGGAAGATACTAATGTGTTTGTTACTAGAAAACACTTTCATCAAAAGCTTTTCTGGTTCTGTTCCAATGAAACCAGAGAAATCATCTATGTAGCTGTCGTCGCCCCCCAATGAGAAATATTCCCGGAGCCAAATGATGGTCTTTTGAAGAACAGAAAATCCAGGCGATAATTAGATTGTGGGGGTTTTTGTCTTTCCCAGAACAAAGAATTTTTGCAAGAAAAAATGTTGCAGAGAGCCCCGACAATCACCGAAAGAGCCAAGAAGGTACCGGGGCTGTTGGGCTGGAGGGGGGGGGGGCACCCGGGTTCGGGCTTTGGGTGGAACTGATTGCAGGGCTGAGGAGCAGTTTCTGAGTCTCCAAATCAAAATTTCGCCCTATGCAAAATGGCAGTCCCTCTGTCGAAGAGACCAGGATTCTCTGCCAGCATCTAACATGTCGCCATGCTTGCACTGCCGTATTTGAATTGGGAAGGTGTTTTCTTAGGGTCAGACTAGCGAAGGACACTCAAGGGGGCCTTGATTTTCTGAATTCGTAGAATCAGAGTTGGACGGGACCTCCAGGGTCGTCTAGTCCAACCGCCTGCGAAATGCAGGAAATTCACAAATACCTTTCCACATGCCCTCATGCCCAGAAGATGGCCAAAAAAAAAAAAACCTCCTGGAGAAAATTGCTTCCTAACCCCAGCGTGGCAATCGGCATTTCCCTGGGCGTGTCAGAAAGGGCCATGAGAACTAAGCACCGAGGCAACCCTTCCTGCCCTCCCCTCTCACGATCTGCCTAAATCCACAGAATCAGCATCGAGCCTCTGCTTCAAAACCTCCGGAGAATTCAATTGTGTCATCTGTAGCGTTGCTTCTGAAACCCCCACGCATCCGTATCCTCTGATTCTGTACTAAGAGGCCATCACACTGAGGTCAAACGGTTCACGTTTGTTTCACGTCCCCAAGCGACGGGTTGTAAGATTGACGTGCAGGAACTCTGCCTCACTGAACAAGGATCCCCTTGCCGGATGCCCAGAATGCATCTTTCGGAAATACCATTCAACTGTTGTGTTTCTTAAAGACCTGGGGAGGGACCGTGGCTCATTGGTAGAACGGTCTGCTTTGCAAGCACAGGATCCCCGTTTCAGTCCCTGAAATCCGCAGTTTAAAAGGATCAGGTAGCAGGTGAAAGACCTGGAGAGCTGCTGCAAGCCAGGAGACAGTGGTGACTTTAATAGACTAAATGATCCAATAATAATTATAATTATTGTACGGCATGGTGCGTAGTATAGCCAGGAGATCTGAAGATTGTCTGGCAGCCTGAAGTTAACATAAGAACATAAGAACGTAAGAGATGCCAATGTTGGAGCAGGCCAAAGGCCCATCCAGAGCATCACTTGCCCCAGACCGAGAGTTCCTATATATAAAAAAGGTAAAGGTTCCCGTGCTCGAAAGCCAGTCGAGTCTGACTCTAGGGTTGTGGTGCTCATCTCCATTTCAAAGCCGAAGAGCCAGCGCTGTCCGAAGACGTTTCCGTGGTCATGTGGCCGGCATGACTAAACAACAAGGTGCACGGAACGCTGTTACCTTCCCACCAAAGCGGTACCTATTTCTCTACTTGCAATTTCTCACTTTCGAACTGCTAGGTTGGCAGGAGCTGGAACTAGAGATGGGAGCTCACTCCGTCATGCGACAACTCGGGTCTTGAACTGCTGATTGAAGCCCTCCCACTGTTGACCCCCCCAAGCACCAAGAAGACAGAGCATCACTTGCCCCAGAGCCCCTATCTATACCTTGTGGCTAATAGCCACTGATGGACCTCTGCTCCATATGCTGATCTAATTCCCTCTTGAATCCATCCATGCTTGTAGCCGCCACCACTTCCTGTGGCAGTTCTAGCTCATTAGCATCATGCTAGGTGGCGAGCTAGGGTTATTATTTTTTTGGGGGGCCGAGAGAGCTCTGAAAGAGCTGTGACTGACCCAAGGTCACCCAGCTGGCTTCATGTGGAGGAGTGCAGAATCCAATCAGTTCTCCAGTTTAGAGTCCATTCTTCTTAACCACTACACCATGCTGGCTCTCTGACTAGAGATCTGACTTGGTATAAGGTAACATCATGGGTGTAGGCATGAAATAATTTTGAGGTGGGGCCATGGCTCATTGGTAGAGCATCTGCTTTGCAGAAGGTCCCAGGTTAAAACCCTGTCATCTCCCATGAAAAAAATTTCAGGAAGTAGGCCTTTGGAAAGACCTCTGACTGAGACCTTGGAGAGCTACTGCAGATCAGACTAGGCAATACTGACTTCAATAGGCCAATGGTATTAGTCAGCTTTGTTTGTGCTGAGTTCTTCTAATGCAGTCACCTCAAATTTTTCAAGACCGTGATGAGCCAGTTGCCAGTTTGTTTGTTTATTTTGTACCCCGCCCTCCCCACCAAAGGGCGGGCTCAGGGCGGCTTACAGACATCTCATAAAATACAATTAAAACTAATCATAATATGTCATCATAAGCATAAATACCGATTATTTAAAATATAGTTAAAACAGTTAAATACAGTAAAAAAAATGCTGGAACATTATTAAGAGAACGGGAGCAAAATTATTTATCATATACCTTAAAGGTAAAGGTCTCCCTTGCTCGAAAGCCAGTCGAATCCGACTCTAGGGTTGCGGTGCCCATCTCCATTTCAAAGCCGAAGAGCCAGCGCTGTCCGAAGACGTTTCCGTGGTCATGTGGCCGGCATGATTAAACACTGAGGTGCATGGAACGCTGTTATCTTCCCACCGAAGTGGTACCTATTTATCTACTTGCAGTTTCTTGCTTTCGAACTGCCAGGTTGGCAGGAGCTGGAACTAGAGACGGGAGCTCACTCCGTCATGCGGCACACTCGGTTTTCGAACTGCTGAACTACTGACCTTCCACAGCCTCTAGTTCAGCGTCTTAACCACTTCCTATACACACCAGCTCAGTTTGATCACTTTGTTGTGCAGCGGGTACAGGCTAAGGTCAGGACGCAGGCTGCAAAGGTGGTAGAGCCAGGGCATGGGGACACTCCTCGGTGCATGATGTGGCTCCTTAGTCAAATGCCTGGTGGAAGAGCCCCATCTTGCAGGCCCTACGGAACTGTAAAGGATCCCACAGGGCCCTGATCTCTTCCGGAAGCCCATTCCGCCAGGATGGAGCCACCACCGAGAAAGCCCTGGCTCTGGTTGTTGCCAGCCTGGCCTCCTTGGGGCCTGTTCACCAAGGTCTCCTGTTTTGACTCGCTTCTGGCTTTTATTGTTCAGGTCCGGAGAGTCCCGGGTTCCAGCGGGCGTCTACACAAGACGGAGGACGGTGGCTGGGAGTGGAGCGACGACGAATTCGATGAAGAAAGCGAAGAGGGCAGAGCGGCAATTTCACAGCTCAGGGTAAGCCAACGCTGGCTGCTTCCCAGTTTGAAACCAGCCAATTTCTGGAAGGATGGCTCCAAGGGGAACCTCTTTGAAGGACATGGTTTTGTCCACCTTTTCGGGCCTGGCTCTGGCCCGGTGGGACACTCTTCCAGCTGAGATCTGAGCCCCTGTGGGACCTAATGCAGTTCCACAGGGCTTGTAAAGCAGAGGAGTTCTGCTGGGCCCATGGTCGAGGGCAGCGACAGGTTCCATCTTTGATTGGCCTCCCCTCTTCAGCCAGACAGATTAGGCACCACTCCCCTCTGAGTTTTACGCCATCTTTTAATTATACTGTTCAGGGCTCTTTTTGTAGAAAAGGCCCAGCAGGAACTCATTAGCATAACAGGCCACACCCAAAGCAAAACTCATTAGCATATTAGGCCACACCCCCATGTTACCAGAAGTGTGGTCATCCAGCCACACCCACATTTTTCTTCTTATTTTGTTTACCTTGTTTGTTGTCAAAACCCAGGGCTTTTTTTGTAGCAAGAACTCCTTTGCATGTTAGGCCACACACCCCTAATGTAGCCAATCCTAATGAGTTTCTGCTGTTGGGTGTGGCCTGTTATTTATTTATTTATTTAACTGTTAGGTAATGAGTTCCTGCTGGGCGTGACCAGCTCGGGAGCCAGCCGGAACTCCGTTCCTGTGCGTACCTGCCCAAAAATAGCCCTGATACTGTTTAGTTTATAATATAATGTATTTCATTGTTGTAAGTTTGGTGTAGTGGTTAAGTGTGCGGACTCTAATCTGGGAGAACTGGGTTTGATTCCCCAGTCCTCCACTCGCAGCTGCTGGATGACCTTGGGCAAGCCATAGTTCTGTCAGAGCTGTTCTCTCAAGGGCAGTTCTCGAAAGAGCTCTCTCAGCCCCACCAACTTCACAGGGTGTCTGTTGTGGGGAGGGGGGAGGGAAAGGAGTTTGTAAGCCGCTCTGAGACGCTGAGTGAAGGGTGGGGTATAAATCCAATCTCTTCTTCTTCTATATTATCAGGCATTTTACCGTATTTATTGTACTATGTACTGGAATGTTTTTATCCTGATTTTACCTGCTCTGATCCTGGGCACAGAGAGAGCGGGCTACAAACCTAATAAATCAAATCGAATCAAAATCCCGTAGGACCACAGGTGCAATTCTCCATTTCTTTGGCAATACTGGAAGGAAATCCTCATTTAGTTGTTTGGAGACTTGTGGAGCACGTTCACACAATCTTCCCTGGGATCTGTCTGTAAGCTGAATCCTTTGGGAATCAGAGATGCAGTAGCTGCGGTCACACGGAGCATTAGCCACGCTACAGAGACGGAAGATAGGCAGATTTTCCGGGCGCAATCACCCCGCAACATCTGGGAAGCGTAGAGCTCCCGTGGCTAACCCGAGGCTTCCCGCTGAAGTTGCGGAGTAAAATACTAGTACCTCCGAGGTACTAGTTTCCGGAAACCGCGGGGCAAGGGCGGGCGTCTGATCACGTTTCCGGTGGTAGCTCGTGGCATCCGGCGCCCGCCAATGTCCTGTCGCGAAAAGTCTCCAC